CTTGATAAAGTCTTCCTTCTGGTGAAAAAATTGTAATGTGACGATCGTAACCTGCTGATGAACCTAAGGATTTTCAATAATAAAAAGATCAAATTTGCTGGCGCTATTATAATCATCAACAATTCAAAAAGAGTTCCTTACCACGACTCATAATTTTATATATGTAATAAATATGGTAAAGGAATTCAATTTCATGTGACCAAATTTTTTTTTATTTTGATTGGACGATCCCATACAAATTATCAACCAGTGGCAAGTAATGTTGAGATGGCAAACGGATAAACATCATTTATTCCAACCAACTAGAAAGAAGTTGAAGGAGAACATTCCAACATCATGTATTACAATGCTGTTACTATCTTTGAAACTGTTCATCATTAAACTCATATTTACCAATTAACAAACAACATGCCATATTCTACTTGTTATTAGTGATGCGATCCACGGATATCCAAGACCGCCATTTAACAACCCAGTATGTTATAAAAATAAAAACAATCATGAATTTTATTATTATTTATTTATTATACATTTTATTTTGTTTTGTATCCATAACTTTAAACATAAAATTGTGAATATTTAACTCACACGTCATCAATCCACTTGTTATGCTTGGTTTACAATTAATTTCTTTTGCGTCAATCTTAAAGCTTTCAACTAAAATCGAAATCGAAATCGAAATCGAGATTCGAGCCTTTATTAAAATCACCCTTTTTGAGTTTGACAAATAAAGTTTCCGAGTCGCCAATTTTGTTTGAATTTTGCGACACTTTTAGTATTAGTAATGATGTTTGTTACCCTCTTCTTGCATTATCTTATTTATTATTAATATTTGTTGCATTGTATTTTGACATATGCGCTTAATTTGTATTGGTCAACAAAGTCGAGTAAGCAGTCCAATAGAGTATATAATAAACAAGTCGAGTCCATGTATTTTAACAAAAACTTTTCTTTCTTGAATAAAAGAAAAATAACAAGTTTTGGCTTGAAAATAATCAAGCCACACCCAAAACTACTTGCTGGTAATAAATACCCCATTCAGTTTGATCCTTTATTTTTATTGTCATTGATTGAATTTGCTCTCCCAAAAATTAGTCGTTGACAATAATAATTATAAATTTTTTTGTTCACAAAGGTCAAAGACCAATACAACCTATTGATTAAAAATCAATGTTTTATCAATTATTCTTGAGATTATATTGTTCGTGTACTATATTACTACAAGTAGGATTATAGGTGTGAACCAAGAGTATTTTTTACTGCAGTGATCTTGTAAAAATTATCACCAAATGTATAATTGATCTCTATCTAAAGGTCGTATTTTCATACAACATTTTTAATGATAATCAAACGAGAATTGAGATCAAAAAATATATATACCTTTACCTGTTTTTTTCAAATATTAATATCAAATTTTTCACTTCCGATCCTTTCATTTTCTCCATAAACATATCCTTTAAAAATTTTTATTCATAAAATAGAAACCATTAACATTATCAAAGAAAAAACCCAAGGAATTAATAAAAAAAGAACATTAAACCAGTTTTTAAAATCTGGGATATAGAGGTTTAAAGTCATGTTTCGCAACGCACTGGATGGTTATCTTAATTTATTATTTTTTTTTTTTGAAGATTGTATTTCGTCATTATGCTGAAGAATACTCAAAGATAAGTTTAGGATATTTGCATATGTATGATGAAGTTTTGACTGATATAAAAATAATTTTCTTTAAATATACAAGAGGGTTTTGTACACCTACATTTGGATCGTTTCAACTTTTCAACAATTTTATATTCCATAATAATATAAGCCTATAATGTTTTTTATATTATTATTGTCAAAAACATGGACTCCCAGTAACTTTACATAATATCTTCATAAATTTATAATAAGTTTACAATTTTTGAATTTGAGGATGGTATTATAAAAATTATTTCTAATTATTATTATTATAAAAAATTGTTTTCCTATTATTATAGTAAAATCACACCCACAAGATCCAGAGCCAGGACCAAAACCATCAGAACCAATACCACCACCGACAACAACAACAACACCGCCAGAACCAATGACAACGACAGTGACAAATTGTGTGGTGCCTAAAACACCCTGTTTGTTCTAGTTGTGAATTTGCTCACGTATGTTGCAATCCAAAGTCAAATCCAACATGTATATCATCTCAAACGACTTGTTATACTAACGTTGACGGTCCTAGCTCATGTTGTGATCCAGATCCACCGTGTTTGTGCGAGGATTGTCCATCACAACAGTGTATACTGGTATCGTGTACACAGCAAATGTGTATACCGGCCGGCGTCATGCATATCGCATGATTGTGTACACCAGTACCGTGTACTACTACTAACATTGAAGAGCATGTCACAGTCCGATTTATACCACTATTGTCAACACAGATTATACCACTGTTGAGAATCCAAGTTATACTACTGATACTGACATTGAATATACTATTAGTACTGATTATATTACTAGCACTACTACAGATTCTACTACTAGTACAGATTATATTACTTATATCAGCACTGAATATACTACTACAAATATTACTCCAGAGGAGAAAATGTTAATGTTAAATGAAAGCATATCAGCAAGAATTGTTAGCATGACAAAGATATCATACAGAGTTGAAAAATTATTTACTGGTGTTGTAGCATTAGCACCATTAGCAATATTATTATTAGCTGCATCAGTTGCAAGTGGATATATGTTTTATTAACAGAGAAAAAAACAAGTCAGGAGGTTCACAAATTCTATGCAGTATAGGACATAGCAGTACAGGAGATAGCAGTACAAATGCCAAGTCTCAAAAAAGAAGAAAAAGAGGAAATCAAAAAACTAAAAATAGAAAAGTATGGTTCCCATTAATTTCTGATTTTAAAAAAATGCTAAAAAAAGAATTAAAACAAGTCAAGGACTTTTACAGTTGGAAAATATAATGTTGGTAATATTCTTTATTCTGTTCCAGTTGATCTTAGTGAAATTGAAGCCATAGAAAAAATATTTGGTAAAACTATTGTCATTGAGGATAAAAATTGTATAGTTTATGGAGAAGGTTCTAATAAACCATCAGTCTTAATAAAAGAGCTGTTATGTAGACAATTCGCACTGTATATTAATATACTACTTTCTGGAAATAAACTTTCTATATAGGTAATCGAATGAAGATACATATGAGTACGTGGTATTCATTTCCTACTGTTTTATTATTGATATTGAATGATATGTTAGAAAAGGGCCTCAATTAGTTGAATTAATAAATAAAAACAATATCTATGTTAAACGACTATTAATTACCTTGATCCAATAAACATGTCCTTTTTATAGCTTAATAAATGGCAGAAGCGCCACGTTACACTAATTTTTGGGATATCGAATTTTGACCTGTGTTATATAGTATATTAGGGTAATAAAAAGATGAGCCATATAATTCAGTGTATTAGTCATTATTGACCTTAGTTAACAGCTATATATAATCTAACTATGGCTGAAATCTTGGTCGATTTGGGAAATTTCTAGTCACGTCTACGGCTAGTTGATTCGCAACACTAGTACTAGGACAGCTTTCATGACAAGACACCATGCTTGTATTGATTTATAAATGCCACCTTTTAATAATAATAATATTCTAACCCCAACAGTTAAAAAAATAATCCATGATTACATTTTACCTAATATACATCCTGAAGAAAGAATAAATAAGGTGACAATGTTTAATAAATCTTCTTCTTCAAAAAGGCTAGTCATCTTCATCTTTATTTGATCAGTAGATCAGTAGTAGTAAATAACAATGACTTTAACCTTTTTTGAGTGTTCGTAATTTTTTCTTTCCAGTTTTTAACTTACTGGTCATAAAACCAAAAAATTTTTTTTCAGCATCTTCAATATTAAAAAAAGGAAGGCATACTACTAAATAGAAACGATTAGATGTAAAATAGCACTAATAGATAAACTCTTCTTAAAATTCATTCATTCATTCAATAGTTTCAATCAACCATTCTTTAATTGGCTTGTTCATTCAATGTTCATTAATCATTGCGTCTTTTTCACTAGTCTTCATAAATTCAATAAATCCTTCTGATTTTGTTTAACTTCATTAACACCAACTTTCAAAAGTAAGAGATATATAAGCATGATAAATCATTTTCTTCGAAATATATTCAAAATTATTTTCCTTCATTGTTCTTTTCATGTTCCCCCAAAATGCGGAAACGATGCCTTCATATATAAATTTTTTCTTTCTTCTATATATATGATTTTTCTAATTCTTGAAGGTCTGGATTTTTGAATATATAACGTTTGAAAAGGTTATGAGATTTGCAATAGATTATATATATTAATATATATATATATATATATATATATATAATTTTTTTTTTGTAGGTTACTTAATTCATTGATACCTACTTGTATATAAAACTAAATTTATATATATTCATGGAGGAATAACATTTTTTAAAAAAAAATTTTTTAATATATATATTAAAATAAATTCCAAAATTTTATCACCTATTCCTAAACAAGTTATTGATATTCCAGTAAATGCTTGATAATTGTAAAAAGAAAACTTCATTTAATACACTAAAAATATTTTAATTCCCACTCTTCAGATGGTCCTTTTTTTTTCTTTCTTTTTTTTAATGCATACTCCTGAAACATATTAAAAAAGAAACTGTAGTAATACCCAATTATAATACTTGAAAAAAAGAAAAAAT